GGTATACTGACCGTATACATGGTATACTGACCGTATACCATGGTATACTGGTGGTATACTGGTGGTATACTGGTGGTATACTGGTGGTATACTGGTGGTATACTGGTGGTATACTGGTGGCACACTGGTGGCACACTGGTGGTATACTGGTACACTCCCTAATCCAATCCAATCCAATCTAATCTAATCTAATCTGATCCAATCCAATCCAATCCAACCCAATCCAATCCAATCCAATCCAACAACCCCATCCAATCCAATCAAATCCAATCCAATCCAACCTAATCTAAACTAATCTAAGCTAATCTAATCCAATCTAATCTAATCTAATCTAATTCCAATCCAATCCAATCCAATCCAGTCTAATTCCAATCCAACAAAACCAAACCCAATCCAATCTAACCTAACCTAATCTAATCTAATCCAACCCAACCCAATCTAATCCAACCCACTCAAATCCAATCTATCTAATCTAATCTAATCCAATCCAATCCAGTCAAGTCCAATCTATCTAATCTAATCTAATCCAATCCAATCCAATCCAGTCCAAACCAACCCAACCCAATCCAATCCAATCCAAGCCAAGCCAATCCAATCTATCTAATCTAATCTAATCCAATCCAGTCCCTCACCCAATCCAATCCAATCCAAAGCAAGCCAAGCCAATCCAATCTATCTAATCTAATCCAATCTAATCTAATTCAATCCCTCAGTCCCTCACCCAAGCCTGTAAAGACCTCTGTGGTATATGGGGACGTCTCAAAATGAGGCGCGCCTTTTTTGACACCCAAAACGCTACTTAAAAAAAAAAAGGGCTCGCCTCATTTTGAGACATTCCCATATGGGTGGGATATATTGGGATGTACTAGGGGAAACTGGGGTTTATAGTCAGCAATGTCAATATCAAAAAAAGTACTCATTGGCTGCCTTTGTTTTTTCATAGTCTTCTGGCATGTTTTCAAAAATAAGTCAAAAACAAAATTGCTTAATCCATGCCCCAAGCCCCTAACCTTCCCCCAAGGATACCTGTTTTTCCTTGGTTTTTACATGGTTTCTAATGGAACCAGAGACCTAAAGCAAGCAGAAACAACCACAAACAAATTTGCAATGCCTAAGGGGGGAAAAGTGGCAAAGAGTTAGATCCTGCCACTTTTTTTGCCAGTCCCTCAAAATAACAACGAACCAAGAAAGCAAAACACCAAGAAACCAAAAAAAAACAACAAAAAAAAACAAGATTGCACACCCCAAGGGGAGGGGGTCAGATGCAGTTTGTTGGGTCTTTTTTTTGTTTCTTGTTTTTTTTTTTGGTCTTTGTAAAAAGAAAAGAAACTGCAAAGGTGAGATTGCAAAGAGCAAACTAACCCATTGCAGGTGCATAAAGCACCTAAAAAGGCGCGCTCCCACAGTGGCCTGTTCTGTTTAAAAACCAGTTGCACATTCCCTCAGCCATGGAAGCGATGAAAACCGCGATTTTTTCTAAAAAACAACTTCGAAGCGGCTCAACCGCTATAATTAGAAAAACTATTGTTTTCGATACACTAAAAACAAGTGTTTTTTTCAATTTTTCTAAGTTATAAAAATGTGATAAAATTGTTGATATTTTCTTCACTTCATAACTTTTCATAACTTCTTGTATAACTTTAGTTATAACCAGTTATAACATGAACTTGGCACCAAAGTAACAGAAACCGCCACAGATCTGTGGGTGCGGATGGATGCCCGAAAGCGACCTGCTGAGGAAGCACGAGTTTTTCAAGACTGAGGCCCCGTGGCCTCCTTTGAGAATCTCAGAGTCGGGAAGCATCAATAATTTCAACATCTTGCGGCCAAGTGGGTTGTACCCTCCGGTTATTCAATGACCATTTCAAAGAGACACATGAGAATCAACCGTGAATTGTTTGTTTCTGGAAAATCCGTCTTAAGTATGGCCGGAATGCTCTCGTGGCAATGACCATTGCTTGAAGCTGTTCTCTGCCCTCGCTTGGCGATGTGAAAACTTGGAATTCGAAGCTACATCACTTGGGTTGAACAAATTTTAGCACATCTCGTGTTGCAAACATTTGTGCGGGGTTGCAGACAGTGTAATATTTGAAGGAAGTTTAGAAGTCAAATTTCCGACAATATGGACAGATGAAAAGCAGAGCAGGGAAGAGGCAGAGAGAAGAGAAAGATCAGAAGAAAGAAGAGTAGAAGAGAAAGAGTAAGAAGAAAGAAGATGCAGATGCGCGAAAAGGTAGGAAAGTCGCGAAACACTGTGTTTTTTCCAATGATTTGGGGCTCCGGAGGGTCGAAAAGTAGGCTCGCTAAAGCGGCGGGTGCGGAGCCAGCTGGCCAGATGAGAGATGAAAAATTGCACGCCGTTGTGGCGCGAAGCACATTTGCACACCAGGTTCGGACCACTTTTGGCAGTTCACATGTCGAAAAAGTGCACGCTGTTGTGGCGCGAAGCACATTTCCAAGTCAAAATGTACAAAACACACCAGCTTCGGACCACTTTTGGAAGTTCAGATGTCGAAAAAGTGCACGCTGTTGTGGCGCGAAGCACATTTCCAAGTCAAAATGTACAAAACACACCAGCTTCGGACCACTTTTGAAAGTTCAGATGTCGAAAAAGTGCACTCTGTTGTGGCGCGAAGCACATTTCCAAGTCAAAATGTACAAAACACCTCAGTGTCGGATGACTTTTGGAAGTCGAGATGTGGAAAAAGTGCACGCCGTTGTGGCGCGAAGCACATTTCGAAGTCAAAATGTACAAAACACCTCAGTGTCGGATGACTTTTGGAAGTTGAGATGTGGAACAAGTGCATGCCGTTGTGGCGCGAAGCACATTTGGAAGCCAAAATGTTAAAAACACGGGTTCTGACCACTTTTGGAAGTTCAGATCTCGAAAAAATGCACGCCGTTGTGGCGCGAAGCACATTTTGAAGTCAAAATGTTAAAAACACTAGGGGTTCGGACGACTTTTGGAGGTTCAGATGTCGCTTCGCTTCACTACACTACATTACACTACACTACACTCCACTACACTACAGGTCATTACATTACACTACATTCCAGTACACTACATTACACTACACTACACTCCAGTACACTCCACTACACTAAATTACACTACACCACACTACATTACACTACACTACGCTCAACTACACTACACTACGCTATATCACATTACACTACACTTCACTACACTCCACTACACTACATTACACTATACTACGCTATCTTCCACTACACTTCCCTACCTTACACTACACTACACTCCATTACAACTACAACTACAACTACACAACTACACTCCACTACACTCCACTACACTAAATTACACTACACTAAATTACACTACACTACACTACACTACATTATACTACACTACACTACATTACACTACACTACACTACCTTCCACTTCACTTCACTACATTACACTACACCACACTCGACTACACTACAACTACAACTACAACTACACAACTACACTCCACTACACCCCACTACACTAAATTACACTACACTACACTACATTACACTACACTACACTACCTTCCACTACACTTGGCTACATTACACTACACTACAACCCACTACTTTACAACTACAGCTACAACTACACAACTACACAACTACACTCCACTACACTACACTACGCTACATTACACTACACTACACTACCTTCCACTACACTTCACTACATTACACTACACTCCACTACACTACAACTACAACTACACAACTACACTCCACTACACCACTACACTTAATTACACCACACTACATTACATTACACTACATTCCACTACACTCCACTACACTACATTACACTACACTACATTACACTGAATTACACTGCACCACAGATAGACAGGTAGACAGATAGACAGGTAGATAGATAGATAGATAGACAGATAGACAGGTCGACAGCTAGACAGATAGACAGATGAAAGAGAGAGAGAGAGAGAGAGATAGATAGATAGATAGGTAATTAGGTAGTTAGATGAAAGAGATAGATCGATAGATAAATAGATACATAGATACATAGATAGATGGATAGGTAGGTAGGTAGGTAGGTAGGTAGATAGTCAGAGAAAAAAAGAGAAAGAGAGGAGACCTCAACCACCTTTCGGTCCATCAGCGGCTTCGCGCTGCCATCCCTGATTCACAACAACCAACCTCTCCTATAGGTATCCTATTTCTGAAACTTCCGCCACCGCCTTGTGCGGTACTACTGGTATTCATACTGCTGTAACCGTACAGCCAAAAAGTTATATTTTAAAGCCCCAAACAGGGGGACATGTTAGTAAACACACCGTGGTCAATTGTTGACAGCAAAAGTAGGGATTTACCAACAGCCACGTTTAATTTCAATACTGTAGGGTCCTTGTTCTGGTTTAAGACCTTTGTTTTTCCCCTACAGTTGTTAGTCGATACGCGTTTTTTGATTGGAGTTCCTATGAAAAAGAATGTTGTAAAACCCAATTGTTTTCGTTTAACTCCCCGTCATGTTCGTTGATCAAATCCCCTTTTCCCTTTGTCTGTTGGTTTCAGGGTGTGGTTGAAACACCAAGCAGAGGTTCACCTTAGAACTTAAGTAAGCTAGCCAAGTTTTGGTTTGTTTGAACATAGGGTACCCCGAGATCATTCCAAATCCCATGATGTATACTATATTATATATATATAAATATAATTTGTATATCCCATATCATCCAAGGGTCCCGGTCGGCTCAATCCCATGTACCAACCAATATACCATAAAGTGCACGCGTCCCCCAGTCATAAGTTAGTTTATAACCCGACTTGGCTAATCCGATATATCATATCTACCATAAAGCCTAGTTCTCGAAATTATGTTCATCATTTTAACAAACTGGCGCACCAGCTTCTTCCTGTTTCACCCGCAATTTGTTCTTCACCCTCCATGCTTCATGCTTCAACCACCATTTTCATGGCCTCACCCCCAGTTTTCTGCTCAAAAAATTATGTCCATTTACTGCAACTTCTGAGGCGCGGGCCATCTCAGCTCCTGCCGCAGAAACTGGAGGTGTTTGGGATCGACCTCCCAAATCGCTGTGGAGTTGTCCTTGCTGCCGGCCTGACGTTGATGCATTTCTACTGTATCAGATGGGGGTTTCATAGTCATGGGGAATCCCCAAAATGGTTGGTTTATAATGGAAAATCCGATCTATAAATGGATGATTTAGGGGTACCTCCATTTCAGGAAACCTCCAGATGATGCTGGTTCTGTAAGCCACATGTTGGGTTTTCACTGTTCTCGCCTTTCGTAGGGAATATCTGCTAGAAACTTAAATAGTAATGATACACCAATAAACATGTAAGATAAATTGGGTCCTCTACACCTGTGCCTGTGTTGTATAGGTTTTTGTATGCTGACCACACATCAGGGTCTGAGCCAACACTTCTCTGAACACCATAAATATTGGCCATGATTTACTGTCAAACCATCCAAATTTGCGACTACCCTGTTTTGATCCATATGATAAACCCATTAGATTGAAATATATCCGTTCCCCCAAAATTAAAATACGTTCATATGATGGGTACCCAAAGTATTTAATCAGGGATTATGGTGTGGTATTTAAGGTTATATAATTAAGGGAAACTGATTTTAACAACAAATATACCATATATATATTACAAATTATTATTATTAATTTATTAATAGTTTTATTTTTATTATTTATTATATGTATATATATATATATGTATATTATTTTCCTTTTTAAAAAATAGTATATACATATGATATTTTTACATGTATATGTTATGTTTCATTATATATACTGCATTGTGTTTTCAATTTGCTTAATCATTTAATATATACTATACTACATATTGTATGTTTGATGTTACTGTGTGAAATATAGATCAAATATGTTTAATGGTTATTTTTACATATTGTATACTACATGCATACATTGCATTGCATTTTGCCACATTACATTACAGCACAGTACATTACATTGCATACATTACATTCATTACATACATTACACACATGCAATGCATACACACATACACGCATACACACATACACGCACGCACCTATATGGATGCATAGACACATGGACACATAGACGCATGCATGCATACATGCAAAGCAAACCAGGTAGGAACATCCCCGTTGCACCGTCGACTGCGCAGGCATGTCTCAAGGCTGGACAAATCCGGAGAGTTTTGGAGCGGTGGCCGGCCGTGGCTAGTTTGGTCTCATATTTCTACAATGCTTGGGGCTGCACGTGAGGTAATGTTTACAGTAACGATTTTCGTTGGTATTAAAGTGACTACGATTGTTTGGGCCCAAAAAATGAACAGATCCGGTACGAAATTAGGGTTTCGTTGTTGGGGCGTTTAATATTGCATGGAATAAGGGGTTACCAACGTATGGATACAGCCACCATGAGTTGGGACAGAGCCAATTTTAATCGTCACTTTGGTTTCACCTTGGAACACTACAATATAGGTAAACATTGGTTGGGTTGGGTATTGTCAATGTTGTTTTTTTAACCAGAATTGGGGCAAGTTTATACCTGGAAAAAAATCTGATTTGCAGGGATTCTAATTATTAATTAAGCTTATACACACAGTTGGATGGAGTTCTAACACCCAGTTGAAGCTGAACTATAACTTTCTTGGAGTTGCAGCCATGCTTTAATTTAAATAGCAGGCTATCATTGGTATCATTGATTTACCTGCCGGGATTAATTTGGCTTAGTTTCAACAATTTTGTAGACCAGTACACCATGGTATACCATGGTATACCCTTGAACTGTTGTTTCAGTTGGGTAAATGATGTTCTTTACCAGTGGATGACATCGGGTATCCTCATTTTAGACAAATTCATTACATGTTTGCAATGTTTTAATTTGGTATCATCCTTAGTGAAGATGCTGATTTGCGGCTAGTTGGTATTTAGAAGCAGATTCTGTTTTCAGACCTAGAACTGGTATGATGATCCCAAATGACTATGTCATGTTTTTTCAGATGGGTGGTTCAGCCACCAGATTTTAGAATTCCCTTTCTATTCTCATTTTATTCCCAAACCCATTTTTACCTAGGACCTTCAAAGTAACGTAATTTCACATGACATTAAGTTTCCGCCCTAAAACAGAGGTTTGCGCTCGTGACCCAAGAAAGTGCTCGTTTTTGAGAAATATGCTCGTCACATGTTCTATCGAGCTGTGGTATTGCACTTTTCTCTCTGAGATGCATCGCGGTGTTCAGACAAGCACTAATAGACGTGCCTGAGAAATCCTTAGGGGTCTACAGGAACAGCCACAATTATAGAACGGCCACATAGACGTAACCTTTTTTTGAATTCACGCCCGTTTGCAGTTTTTTTTGCCGATTTGCGTCGGTTTTGCCCTTTCTGTTGTGCTACGGTTGTGAGCGTTTGGGTCTTTAAAAAACATCCCTTGTGATGGCCCACATTTAAGGACAAGCGGCCACAGCCTAGAAATCTAGAAAAAGATAGAGCAGGCTGAAGAGTTCTTTGAATGCGTTGAAAAGATGATTTAAGCGACGACTTGTTGATTTCGGTGTCGAAAGGGCACGGGGGCATAGATTTAAGTGACCTTGGCGTGTTCTGGTATGATTATCAATATTCACAAATATATGTTCGTATTTGTTCGTTTGTTCATGTTAATGAATATCCAGTAATGCTCATTTCATATTCATTAATTCAGAATTTTTGCTGATTACACCACCATTTTTTCTGAGGATTTTCGCCCCCATCATGCGGCAAGTCGTGCGCGGCAAGTCAGCGCAGGCATTCTCAGCGATGATCTCACTGAGGAAGAGTTGGATCAGATTTTCAAAGATCGGAAGAGGACCATCGAGAAGAGGCGCAATGGCGCCATTGGAGGATTCACTTCTGGTGTCAATCATCGTGGGAAATTATTTTCGATGAATTAGGACGTTCTTGATATGGAAAATCCTTTAATGGAGATCCTTTATATTGCCCTCCGGTTATCAAGCGTGGCTAGCTGGGTTACAGGAGATCCCTTATCGAAATGATTACATATATATATAATATTATGTGTGTAGGTTTATAGCTGGGTAAAAATGAACAATTGGTGGACTCGCAAAAAGTGTTTTTTTGAGTCTATTTTTTACATAGGGAAGAAGAAGATGATTAACCAGTAAATATGGAGATGTCCTATTTTCTACATGTTGGATGGTGAAGAAACTAAAGATAGCTAACATCTAACATCTTTGAGCCCTTGAGCCTCATCATTCACCCATTCCTGCTAGTTATTTTACCAGTTTTCCTCATGTTTCAATCCTTATGCTTCCCAATCTGTTCCAGTTGCTTGTTTCAGATCTTTTAGAAATCTCACGCATGATGAATGCAAGATTAACTGAAATGTCACAAACCTACAAACCACATAGCTTCATGTCTAATCCCTTAACCCACAGGTTTGTCTTACTGTCTTGCTGGTGCTTAGTAGAGACTTGGGGAATGATCCACAATGACTATTAACAATCATCCGACTCCCCCAGTCTCTACTAAGCACCAGTACGTTGTTCCTGAAGATCTCCGAAGATCACCACACTCGTTGTTCCTTCCCCACAAGCCAGGTTTGAAGAGCCTGTAGAAGAGCCTGGTTCCTTCATGCGGGAGCCAGCAGATGCGGCCACCAAGGCCATGCTGTAAGTTGCATGTTTCATGTTACTGTATGCTTTGGGGATTTAGGATTGAATGATGATGTTCTGCTTTGTGAATTGAGTGTATATATAATTATATATATATACATATGATGATCTGTATTAGATCCCGTATGATATAAGTACTCTACTTCTACATTATTATAGTCTTCCCAGATGTCAGCCACACGAAGGGGTCAAGGGCACGTGCCGCTGGAAACGCTTCCATGGCCGGGGCAGCTCCGCGTCAGGAGAAACTGCTGCAGCTGATGCGGCAGATGAGACAAGAGGAAGAGACCGGATCTCAGAATAGGTAGAGCCCCTGTTTACAATAGGTAAGTTGGACCAAATATGTCCAAGCATGTCCAAATCTTTAAGTGAATGCTACGGTTTTTGGTATATATTCATTTATAGTGGCTGGGGTTAGATAGTTTGGGGGCGTGGCTTGTATCCGACAATGGGATATTGTGGTATCTCTATAACTATGAATATCAATATGGGTTTATTTGGAAATGGTTTTATATTGAATATACATACCTCAACTGTGGCTATCCAGTGCTTGTGAGGGAGCCAAGGAGCTATTTGTATCCGGAATATTCCCTATCAGGGAGCCCGGGAGCTACGAATTGGGTTTCCTAAGCACATGATGCTTTTTGGCATCGACACCATTAAGCAGACATGAGTCAAGAGTAGTCAAGATTCAAGATGGTTGAAGACCTTTCAATGTTGAACCATGATGGGTCCATGATAAACGAACACCCATCCAAATGGGGGGATGAGCATCCATGTTCACCAGCTATGCTGGTATCAAACCCTAATATTGGAGTTCGGATCCATAACCCATTGAGTATTTCAAGCTAACACATGTAAGATGACCAAACATCCATACATGTCTCTTCTAGATAGACTGATGTTGCAATTCGCCAAAGACATCCAAAGACTGTGTGGTGCGCTATCCTGGTAATTTGGTGTTCACACGTCTATGTATAAATATAATATTTACATATATATATATATATGTACACTGTATATGTTTATACATTTTATATTATATATATAGATATGTATATATATATATTACACAGTATGTATATATATTTACATATAAATATATATATATATATATAGAGATGGTAATCAATGACTTGCTTGCCATCGTAGATCTGCCTGCCTCTCAGGTCCGTGGGAACTCAGAACCAAACGCCGAAGGTGCCGTGTTTAATGGGCGACTGGAGCCAAGAAAGAGTGGAAAAGGCTGGTTAAGTTTTGCAGGGGTTGGTAAATGTCCTGTTTTGGGGATTTTGAACATCACTTGAAAACGTATTTGTTGGTGATTATATCCCCAATAGTTGAGTGATGTTCAATTAGGACATTTACCAACCCCTGTTTTGTGTTTCACCATGTTTAAAGCCAAAGATTCAGACAAGTTTCAATTGACTTTTCTTTGCCTCTCTATTTTAGTCGGATTTTCACTGATTTTTTGAGGGTGGGGTGCTATATTGCTATACTGTTGAAACTATACCAAGTGCCATTTGGATACTAAACAAACCACATTGTTGATCTCAAGTGTAGCATTTCACTGGTGGGCTTGTTTTTTGGGATATATATATAACTCTCAGCCATTCTCAAGTGCCTGGTCAGAAGCGGGGTTGACCTTTCAGGAAGTCAATGTGGTAGGCCATGGTAACCCCGCGAATTGACATGGATAAACCTCCAATTGGATATTGTTTTGGTACTTGGTGGCTCATCCCACTTAGTAGGTAGGTTATACCCCGGTTAGAAGTGGATAAACCCTACTTATCCCACTTATAATTGGGAAGTAACCCACTTACTAAATGGGATAAGCCGCCAAGTATAGCAGTGCTTAAAGTCTAGGCTGGTGGTTTATGGTTCCAAGTTTACCACTCCAAGCCCCAATCTCCCTACCTCGGGAGGCCCCTGAATGCTCAATGTTGAATGGAACAATGATGATTCGATGGTGATTAAGGGTCATTAGCCCTTAATGAAGATACAACACTTTATATATTTGTTTTGGCTGAATGAAATGCCTTGCTGAAAGAGACATCTAACTGTCGTAGTTGCAAAAAGGTCCTTTGCAGAGAGCTCACGAAGAAAAAAATTGCACAACAGCGAATACCTTAAGGCCAGATATCCATGTTCAACATGTCACAGTCAATCAAGATCATGCGAAACCAATAGTGTCAACTCCCCAGCTTTGTGGACCAAAAGCAGGGCTGTGTTTTTTGGGGTTGCTACCATCATATACCAATTCTAATTGCAAATTAGCGTTGTTTGTATCCCCCCAACCACAACCGAAACGAGCAAAGTCGTGGGACAGGGTGGCCTCTTCCTAACTGGCCTGGAGGTGCAGTGGATCCAAAAATGGCATCGTTATACCAAGCAAAATTTGATAATTCACCAGTGGTGTAGCCTATTTTCAGAAATCAAAGCTCATCGAAGTATACACATGTAGTAAATTACTAGACCTTTGCCCCAAACCCTTGAACCATTTGGATTTATAACTGTTTGACATGCATTAGCCTTCAAAAATTGGCAGAGTGACAATTGGGTTTACTAAGTTTACTACGCTATGTATATGGATTGTCTTCCACTAGTCAACTCTCAACCAGTCTCACACCCTGGATGGTGAGTGGATACATTCCTAAATGGGTGGGTGGGGGTGCATTACCCTAGTATATTTAAGTATACAGTATACTCTACATATCTGATCCTGGCAAGTAAAAACACAATCAGATTATTTTGTTTTTTGTTTCTCGCTTGAAGAACCAGTTGGCGCACAGAATCAACGGATTTTGGGGACCAAGGCACGGAGAACTGAGACTCCAAGAAATTGAAGGATTCATGGCCCAATCTTGTTTCTGGCTTCACCGTGCTTTGAGACGACATAAAAATAAAGATAAACACATGGAACATGATGGAACATATGACAGACACCATCAGCGGTTTGGCTTCCGTGACATCACCCACAACATGTACCGTGGTCATATCTTGGGTAGCCTCTGGGCTCAGGCTTCCTCGTAGAGAGGTGGGGAGGTGGCCCCTTTCTAACTGAGCCGTGCAATTTTCCCGTTCCTCCTCTGCTGATCATCGAGTATGTGGCCCCATTGCCTTCGGTGTGCCCCTGCCACTATCGAGTGACTTGTGTTTTGACTTTGATTGGCCTTCGGGTGGTTGCTTGGGGATCTTCAGAGGTTCTGTTGTCCGGCCTTGTGGATGCTTCTCACCTTTCGGCGAAAAATCAGTTCCGTGGCATGGGACTGACGTCAGGTCGCTGCCCACATGACATCACAGACAGCTACCTCTTGAAGATGACCCCTGAACCAGGAAGTAGATTGACATTTGTTGACGCCTTGACAGATGGTGGAGGCGTGATGCCAACACCTGACTGCAGGAATCCCAACCCTTATTGCATGGTGTGTGTCGTTGGACTGCTTTGCGGAGGATTGCTTTGCTGAGGATTGCTTTGCGGAGGATACTATGTATGGACTCATGCCGCTCGCTTTCTGCAATGCCCTGTTTTGCTGGTGACTTTAGCCTTTGCCCTGGACTTAAGTCATGAGTGTGTTCTAGCCTACCAGCGCGCTCTTGTGCATCACTTGTAGGTTCTGGCTTGTCAGTTTGACTTCGATGATGTTGATTGCTTGCCACCCGAGCTTGTCATTGAGTAGGAATTGACCGCGCGATACAAAAAGCAAAAAGCCGGAGAACAGAAAACCCCGAGTTTACCAAGAGTTAGGTGCCTGCACCGGGCACCGTGTGACAATTTTTCCTTGTCTTTAAATGCTTGCACTTGATGCTTGCTTGTACTTGTTTGCCAAAGCTCTCTTGCTTGCCTTTGTGCTTGAGCCTGGTCTTGTTGTACAGCCTTCCAAGATCTGTAATTTTCGAAGCAGCTCTGACAACATTGCTGGTTCTGTATGCCATTGGCTTTTCACCCCGCAAGGGATGACCGCGCGACGTGGTTTGTCAACTGGTATTCTTAGTGTGACATGTCCCTGGCATACTGCAAGTACATTGCAGTTAGCTGTGTGCTTTCCATTCTCGGTTCACCCCCCTCCTTGCTTGCACCTCGTACCGCCCCCCCTTAACCGGGAAAGGGGCGTTGGTGCTGCGACTTCGCTCGCGCAGGATTCCGTCATAACTTGGGTAAATTGCCCACATTTGTGCACGGTCACTATTTGATTATACGGATTGATGCACCCATTGTAGGGAATCCAGTGCTGAACATGGCACATATGGTTCCTCCCTAAGATTGAAAGAATGTTCCAAACAAAGGGTCAGTATGTTTTGCCATGTGTGCAGGCTTGATTACCATCACTTAAGTTCGGTAACCCCTCATTTGAGTCCATTGAAGTCATAAATCCAGTGGTTTGGCCACAAGGCTTTCGTTGCTATATAAATGTGCTTCATAGGTGTTAGTAGAGGGTTGGGATTATGCGTCTATATGATACAATTATACACTAACATACATATTTCGGAAATTATTTATTATATATTTTGCATTAAATACTATGTATTATTTTTGTTCATATCATGTTTCATATATTACAAATTATCTATTTTAGATTCTACACAATTTAATACTTTGTATGTATGTATATAATATATTCTTTTTTTAACATATTTGTTATATGTACAATATAATATTTGATATCATATATTAAATAGACATTTATTTATATATATATATATGTAAAACAATTTTAATATACATGCATTTACATGCACGTAAACTCTAATACATTACACAATTTTTTGAAATATTTACAACACGGGGACAAACCCTGTGGTAAACCCAAGCAACAAAAACCGGAGATTGCCCCAAGGAGGCCTCAGAGCAGCGTCCCGTGCGACGGTTCGTGGCCTTAGAGAAAAAATGGTAGGGCTGGGCCTTGGGTGTGGCAAACATGGCAAATGGGCCTGGGATGGCCTTGTTGATTCCATAGGTTCTTCTGAGCTACAATTAGGGAACAGTTGCAGCTGTGTATTAGTGTGCGTATATATATATATATCTGTCTATCTGTCTTTCTATCTATCTATCTATCTATCGATCTATCGATCTATCGATCTATCGATCTATCGATCTATCGATCTATCTATCTATCTATCTGTCTATCTATGTATAAATAAGATACTATACTTTACTACACTATACTATATGGTACTATAGTTCACTATATCATACTATATTATTCTCTGATATAAGAACATAGCATATAATGTCTCATAGAATAAGATAACATAACCTAATATATCTTTACATAGTACGATTTATGTTGATTTAACATGTTTCATTTATGTTAACACAGTTTAATTTGATAATATACAGTCTAATGTTTTATAGTTTAATATCTTAGTATACTTATGTTTCAACATATATAAATAGCAGAACATCATTTTAATATTCTTGCATAAGATAAAGCAGTTCAGCATAGATATTTCAATTTGATAAATTTAGCATAATTTGATATAGCATATTTTACGGTATTGTATGCTATCATGGAATTTAAACAATGTTTATTATGTTGTTTTTTTAATACAATATATCAAAAGAACATCTAATATAGTATAGTATATTCTATCCCAGCAGTACTTGTTTTTGGTGTCAACGCCACTAAGAGGCCAGGGGCGTGTTTATATTTTGGCGTCCTGATATTTTTTGGTGGGGTGGGGTGGGGTAATAACGTACTGTTCGACTTCTACTCCATAGTAAGCGCTCTTGCACTTCCACACATGCGTCATGCTACGCTGCTGGATGCTCTCTTGCAATTCCACACAAACGTCATGCTACGCTGCTGGATGTTCTCTCGGACTTCCACACATACGTCATGCTACGCTGCTGGATATTCTCTTGCACGTCCACACATACGTCATTCTACACTGCTGGTTGTTCACTCGCACTTCCACGCATACGTCATGCTACGCTGCTGGATGTGCTCTTGCACTTCCACTTGGTTCGTTTTTGAAAGCCCACTGCTAAGAGTTCTTCTTTGGCCGGAGCAAAGACTTTGGACAGACAGTGGGATTGGTTACAAAACCCGATTGCATACACACAAAGGCTGCAGACAAGACTTCACGAAAATTTGGAAGCACTTGTATGCTGCAGTCTGGCGCAAGAGCATCAACGGCAACGTCCTGAACAACCTCGGCCAACTTTGTGCTTGAAACCGAAAAAGGAACTTTTCGCCGAAACCCTCGGCGAACAAAACTGCATTTTTGTGCTTGTAAAACACTAAAATTTCCACTTTTGAGGTCACCCTTCCAAAGGGTTGCACTGCAAATTTATTCCAGAAAGATAAAAGGTGCAAATTACGACAGCTTCCGACATTTCCATCATCGCCAAGGGACTGTGTGATCACCGACACGGCCTCTTACAGACGTTGTTACCGTGTTTTTATATCATGTAATTTCACAAGAAACATTGTTTAATATAATATAACATTATGCCTTTTATAGTATGACATAATATTTTGTGTTTAATATAACGTAATAGGGCATCATGTTATATTTTGCATTATTTGCAACATCGTAATACAATATAACATACAACATATAACATATATCATTTAACATACAACATAAAACATATTACTTATTACACATCACACATAACAGATAACTAACATATAACATAGAACATATAGCAATGTTATTTTAAATTAGGCAAACAATACAGTTGATAGTATAAAATAAACGGGAAACATGTAAAATATTTGTTTTGGACGGATATCTAAGAGTGGGCGTTATGACGAGGACAGACTGTACGATTCACGTTGCCCTTGAGCTGGGGTGCACGACGCTGGCCGATGTCACCCGACCAAACATTTCCAGTTTGTGATGTAGCCTTTTTCCGGCCAGATCTGGTATAATATATCTTCAGGGCTATACTTGTAGCAACCTCCATCAAAAGATGCTGCATTTGGCAATCACATAATCAAGATGGTACCCTTTTGTAATTTCACATCGCCATCGAAAATCATCATTTTCAATAGCTAAATCCAACAAACTGGCCATCTATACCATAGCAAACAGTTGGATATGCAAAGGCTATTTCTTCCCATTGCTGTATATCCAACTTGCAGATGATCCCCCAAGGCAACCCACATGAAAATCCATCGGTTTCACAAGGCCGCGGCAACGGAGACCGGAGCCACCGGAACAGGCGCACATCATGGGTGAGGTTTTTGGGATGACCAATGCGATCATGTACAGATGAAGAATGATGAATATACCCTCTGGTAAACTAACATAGCTATGGAAAATCACCATTTTTAATGGGAAAACTCACTATTTCAATGGCCATTTTCAATAGCAAACTGTTAAATTACCAGAGGGTATGTTGTGTATGTTGTGTTCATCTCGGCTCTCAAGATGCATGACACTAGACATGGGGTATTAGATTTCACCTGTCAGATGTTGTAAACATCTCGTGCGGTTTCCCAATGTTTTTGCACGGATAGAAAAGGGATTGTATACGCTCTAAATTAGAACAATTTTGAATCCCAAAACATATATATATATATGAAACCCAATCCAAGACACATCACTCTATAAACACTATATACATTTATACTAGTACTATATTATGATATATCGTTTCAGGATTCCATGTTTTCCATCAAAGTAGTATGTATCAATGTATCTAAAAAATATTCGATCTACATATTTTTTTCATATTCCCAGGTTCCTTTTACGTCCACCACCAGTGATGTGAGGACAACTTGGCGCCGGCTTCAGCCTTTCAGGCGATGAATCCCATCCCCCGAATATGGGCCCCACCCCGTCAAAATGGTCCCAATTATATGGATTTATATGGAATTTCGCTACTAAACCATGGTTTCCCTTAGGGGGTGTATGACTCATGGGGAACGGAAAAAACCACGACTTTTAATGGACTAAACGAAAACACCGAAAATGATCAGGATTTCGTGTGAAATAAATTCTCTTCGACCCATCATGGGATCTGGGGACAAAAAAAAACTGGGGTTTTGTTCGAGCTGTTTTTTTAGATTAGATGGATAAGTTTTCTTTCAATCACATCAGATACATATTCTGCCACTATCTAGCGTATGCAACCGTGCAACCTATGTGTGATATTCCTAGCTGTTCGTCAACGCACCCCGGGGTCAGGATTTGCATAAATAGATTATAGTCCCCCAAAAATGTAATGTTATCTGGATAATCTGGATACCTTTTTATCCATTTGAAGTCCACAACAATTATATCCATCTTCAGTCTGTGTGTAATCTTGGTTGGAAACTGCTGAAGCAAAAAAAGGCGCGTGATAAACATTGGCGCCGTCAGACCTGCCTATGACATCCTATGACTATCTTGAGTCATGCCTGTGTCGAATGAATGTTTCTAAATTTCGGCCATTTGTTTTGATGAGAAACCAGTTACCTTTCGCCTTTCACGGTGGAAAACTGTGGTTGTTCTCAAGCTGGGGTTAAGAGACGGTGCAGTAGAGAGGAACCAATCGCGTTTGCTGCTTTCTTCCATTGTTTGTCAACATCCTTACACATTCCATCACATTCCACTCTTGCTGGTGATAGATGTTTAAAAATTCCTGAACATCTTGCTGGTTTTGTCACTCCCAGAGTGACATTTCTGCAAAGTAGCTCCCCCAGACATAAGTTGGTTGACGAGTCTATTCAGCCGCAGATCAATCTGCCAAAATCTAACATTTATTATAATTGTTGTGGTTACCAACAGAAACCCATAATTAAATATGATTAATAAATCCAATGTCAATCCCACCTGCTCGATGTACAGTTACTCAGTAATTCAAAGAAAAATAGAAAATTATCCAAATGTTGGTAAATGTTTCATATATCATATGGAGGTTTCCTGAAATATGGGCCTAAAGCATTCATCTTAGATTGGGACTTTCCCTTGCAACTCATTCATCTTAATTACAGTAATAGGGTACCCCCCATGACTATGGAACCCCCATATGGTAATTGATGTTTCATTGGTGGTGAATTCGCATGTTTTCCTCTGTTGTTTCATCCCAGCCAGGCCTTCCTGGCCTCGCAGGGACACACTGGGCCGAGTGTGGGATCTCTGATCTCTCGCTGGTCGAAAGGGCTGATGTTTGTCGCGGGGGTATTGTTGCCATGTGGAGGGATATAATAATCAATGATAATACAATAATGATAATGATAACAATGATAATATGATAATAATATTATTATAATCCCATCAATAATGATATTATGGTAAATAATAATGATGATGATGATAATGATAATAATGACATTAGCATACAATAACAATGATGATAATCATAATAATAGTAATAATAATAATTAATAATAACAATAACAATATATAGGTGTTTTCTATGTGTGCGTATATAATGTATTTAAGTATAAGTATAAGTATATATATATATATGTGTGTGTACACATGTGTATATGTATTCACCCGCTAGTAGAACTCCTTCATTGGAAATAAAAATACAAGAAACCATATTTTCTTTCAAGAAGACCTGAAAGAATCTGGTAGGGACAAGTCGTTACAATCTTCAGCGGTTCGCATACCACCGACCTGTTACAAGCAGCAGAAGTTTCACTGTGGACTATTGCTTTGAGCAAACTTTTGGGTCCAACACGGCAGCGCAGCTCATGGGATTTCACAGTTTCGTGTTTTTTCCTGACAAAACATGTCATTTCACATATGTCACATTTATTTATATACATTCTTAATTCTGGGAATGCAAAAAACACAAACCAACCAGTAATTAGAAATGAAACCAAAACCACCGGCAATCGTGTCTAAATTCCTGTTGAAGTGAGACAACCCCAAAATGGCAGACAAGCTGAAAATGATGATCAACCAGTAGACAAGCTCATGTTTAGGCAGATATACTCAGTGAAATATCCATGCATATTACACTCTCTTTATTGGAACTTGGGGACTGTCAACCACGGATTTTATTCACGCTTGGGCTGTTGGAAGGTACCAGGTACCACTTTAGAAGCAATTGTTGGGGTATATAACCCCTCAGTGTTTGAACAAATAGTTTTGATTTATCCAGGATTTTCATATGTTGACACTTTACAGAAAATATCGCAGATACGGATACGAAACACCTGCAAGGCAGAACTATCGCATCCAATGCCAGATTGGAATGACTACTTTCCTTTTTTTTTCCCTAAAGACCATTGAAAACCCAATACATATATATATATATGTAATTATATATATATATGTATATATATAAACCCATTGTAAACCGATAACCCGCTGTAAACAAACCTATTGTAAAGCCATGCTAAACACTATCGTTCTTGCACGGCAGAAATGTCGAGGTCAACTGGATTCTCCTCTCCCAACTCCTGTCGGAACGCCCAGTCGTGGATTTGTGCCGTATCCAGAAATGGCTTTGACACCGGTGAAAACCCATAAGTTGCACGTATATAATGTAATGCCTTGAAAAACCGCAAGAATGAACTTGGAATTCTGGTATGTGCATCGTATAAACATTGATATATATATATGATGTATATCTGCATTTTTGGAGACAACCACGTATATAGAGGAGATACTCATCTTATGCAAAGCAGCTAAACCATCATTTTTATTGGGGGGCCAGATATCTAAGATTGACGATGTCAAGCCTTCCGCCGTTCCGAGGTGGGTGGTGTTGGTCTTCCAGATTTGCGGGCCGCTGCTTGGATCATCTGGCCATTTCTATCCTACTGTCCTACTTACTAAGTTAAGAGCTTGCAGGTGGAGTTACCCTACTCCATTTGATTCACTTTAATTCCATTTATCAATTTATCGCGGTTACAAGAGAACTTGTAAGTGGGATGAAGGGTTAAGTGTGAGATAGTGTGAGGGTCAAAGGTATGGGCACGCCAATCCGGATGGTTTAATACAAACATGTGTCGATTGGGATCCCAATTTTGGGCCAGAAGTCAAAGGTTTCTCGGAGAAAGCTTCAACAGTTATGGTTCCCTCCATGAATGCTGACCCCCCTCGCGAGACCACTCGTCCTTTGAGGATTTCAGCCCCTATTGAGCCGGTCAGTACTCGTAGCTCCCACCATGGAGGACATACTTGAATGCCGAAATTGGGTACCTCTGCTTTGATGGTTGATACATGTTGATACCTAATATGACGGACGGGGCAAAAAAAGCAACATGTCCCACTGCTGTACACTTTAAGTCACCAGGTGATGTGTCAAAATCCTAGGTCAATTCGCGCAACCTCACTGGCCAAGATCACAATAGAATCCTCTCACAAATAGGCTTACCATCTAGTAATCAAACATGGCAATGGAAACTATCCGATTTGTATAGATGATTTTCTTATTTAAATTACCATTTAAAGGTGATTTTCTGATTTGATAATTGTAGGCAATCTTTCACATCATTTGAGAAAATATCGGTTCTTGTTTACTCTTTTTGATCGAATCGTCATTAGGATCTCATTTCAGGAGAGTTACAACTAATGTAGTTTTGTACTGGTGGAACTATCCCACCGCTTATTTTTGATATTATATCGAATAGCCTTGTTCAGAATATCAACCATAGTGATATATCGATGACAATATTATTAATTGGCTAATTTATTCATGTCTATCTACATCTCATGGAATAATGATATTCAATATTTTGGGATTTTTATTTGATATTACTAGTATTTTGTATGCTTTATTGTACCATCTGATTATGACTAACATAGCCATGGAAAATCACCATGTTTAAGAACGGCAACCCATCTATTTCTATGGGTCATCTATACCATGGCGAACTGTTCGTCATAAACAGAGGGTAGTTATTATTAATAGTGGTCAACAATGTTTATGAATGGTGATGAATGGAGATTTACCCTTTGGTAAACTAACAGTTTGCTATTGAAAATACCATTGGCTACCCGTGTATGATTCGCCAGCGGATCCGATTTGATACCTAGACTTGGCTATGAATTTTTGTGTTTCACCAGACGTAGACTTTTTGGTCGGACCAAACAGCACGGCAGTTCCGTGTTTTTTGTAGGTCATCAACACAGAGAAAACACCAACAAAACAAAAAAAACAAAAAAAACATCAGATATGAGATGATATATGCTCTTTTGCTTATCTACTAGTCTTAGTTGGGATGACTATTGTGACTATGTTTGCTTGTTCCATCTTGGTTCCACATTGGAAGCCTCAGCCCATCAGGTCAAGAAACCCGTGGACGCTGGGGTCAAGGAGGCATTGCGCGCCCTGCGCGCCGCAGCATTGTCGGAGCCGGGGGGCCCTGATGGTGCGATGGCGGTGAAGATGCCGACAATATTTTTCACCAAGAAGAAACATTCACCCATTATTATTGATTCAAGAAAAAACATGGGAATTTCAGCCATTTCTGCTAAGTCATTGGAGATCGGCACTTGTTCGGCAGCCGGTTTAGCCCCGTGCTTGACATCTCTTGCTGACATTTTGCTGACATGGGTAGATTGAACCAGGAAATTTGGATTTAACCTGGAACAAATAGAGTGGAACTAAAAGTCGCTGTTGAAGCCATATGAACCGGACACTCCATAGCCTCCAGACATGATTTATCACTGGGTAATATTGCCCAAGAGTGGGATCCGTTCATGGTCACACTGGGGAAATCTCCTTTGCTGGTTCAATGGCAAGGTGGTGCCCTCCACCAAATCGTTTAACAAACTGATGCACCGCCTCGCAATCTTGCAGAAGCATTGGTTTTCTCCAGTTTTTTCCCTTGAAATCATTTGGAACCCAGTTTTTCGATGTTTTCTTCTGTCCAACCCTCAGGTTCGCGGTTGGTGCTTAGCTCTGGCAGCCCGCTGATCGGGCGCCACGTTTCACTGATGTATAGCTGGAACTGGACAGCCATTTGCATGAGCAAGTCAGCTGTGTCATGGGGAGACGGTGGGTTTGTGCATTTGAAAAGTAGGGTATATGGATTGATTGTCTATACGATATGAATAATTAATGAACCAAGATTTGCTGCGAGAAGATTGGCCTGCAATATGGTGGGGATATAGCCTTCAATGATGATTGCCTCGGCCTTTGCCCAGTTTGTTTCCCTGTTCAAATGTCGATGTTAGGAGTACGGGTGATTCACCTTGAAGTCACCATGGTTGGTGACTGGAAAGTTGGTTTTTGTCACTTGAACATGTGGTGGATCGCAAACGTGGGTTGCGCCAAATTCAAGGGGTTATCATTAGCTCCGTCATTGTTCCAGAAGTGGATGATGGGAACATTTGAAGGTAACCCCTGTATATGTAATGATCGATGATCGAAATAGTGGTTACAGATTTTCCCTTGAATCAATCCATTGACACAAGAATTGGTGCCATGTATAGCCCCATTCATGGAGAAGTCCAAACGACACCGCTGTTTGCAGGCCTCATCAATGCAGGCAACTGGTCCTTCAATGATGAGCAGGTTGTTTTCCCAGGAGATTGGGTGGAAAGGTGAGACATGGTGAGACCCATCGAAACTCAGGGATGGACGGGTGATTTTTTGGTTTTTGTTTGTTTAGCATGGCAATGAGCGATCTGATATTTTCATGGCAATGGATGTTGTGCCTATGCCATGTGTTGGATTACCAGAGGCTAAGGATTGTATGGGGTTCGGATGGATCCGGGGCCTGACTTTTCCATTCGTTGCTGTCAACTTTGAGGGGCCACAAACCCAAGTGTTAGACAAACCCAAATATGGCGCCGGCTAGATGTTCCCATATGTTCCCATACAGACAATTACAGAGACAAACATACACATACGTATGATATCTTATATCGAGATATAAACACAATGCCCACTATATCCCAATTCACAGGTTGTCTTTAAGCCCACTTTTTTGGCTAAATCCCAAATTGCTAGAGGGCATGTGCAGCCAATCTCCCCACCACAATGGGCTCCGAGAGTTTGTGCTGCGTGTGGTTGGTATTCCCTAGTTCAAAAGTATGTGGAGAACTATCCTCAAACAGATTGACGTGGATCTGGCAAGTTGTAAAAAACATCTTAAAGTTGTCGTCTTTCGGGTTTCACTGAGTGTTCATTTGCATCTCTTTGGGGCCAAATCTCTGGAATTGCCATCTGAATCCTGCTCTAGAGGTTCTTCTGAATGGTCACGACTCTTCTATGAGGGGAACGGAAAATAAGGCACTCATTGAACCACATGACATGTGCCAAGGTCAAACTTAGATTGTATACTCAGTCCTCGGGGAAGGAACGTCAATCATAGGGATTTATATATTGTAAAATATTGTAAACCTATCAGAAGAATTCCCATGATGGGATGGATGACCAAAGACCATATACATGTTGTTGGTTTCACGCTAACATTTGGGCTTTTGTTATTCACCATCCAACTCTTGGTGTGTCAGTCAAGGTGGATGAACTGCCGTCCTGCCGTCAAATATAGGTTGTTTCACATCAAAGTGGCAATATTAATTGTGGAACATGATGGTATAAAAATCATAGAACATCATAGAACTTTGAGGTCTTAATGTTTGAGACAACCGCGTTATGATTTTCTTGATGTGTCAGTGTGTGGCCAAAACCATTGACTAATCCCCCTGAAAATGAAAGCAATAACTTGGAGGATACATGGAGTCCCCGTAGCTTAGGAAATCCCATATGAATGTCTGAAAACAACGATATACCGATATACCGATATACCCATGAATTTACCCATGTGTATACTCCCCTAAAAAGCGGGGGCCTTGTTTTTTGGGCGGGGAAACTTGTGGTGCCAGGTTTTTGTTTTGCGCAAGCAGATCCTGAGAGCTTACCGCCAATTGGAGGCACCTCGGATCTGCTTTCGGTCCAAGCTTCCAGGATTGAGATAGAAAATTGGGTTTATTCTTCCGTACTATTGGTAAACCCGTAATTATAACTTGTTTTTTTTTTTTAATATGTGTGTTATATACATAATAAACATAATAAACCAATGCCAATAGGTATATCTACCATGAACATCCATGAACCACAAAAACTGATCATCCCTTAGAGCCTTAGAGCCGCGAGGCCAAAAAGAAGCTCGAGCCCAAGTGGCCCTTCAAAGTCTATGTCTACGATGAGGCCACCGAAAAAAAAAAAAAAAAATCCCAGCGAAATGGCTGTTGGATCTGTTGGACATATATCAATGGATTGGTTGAAGGGAAAATTTACAGGAAAAGCCTATAGCCTTTTTTTTAAATGGGAAAATCTATGGTTTCCGCTTAAGATTTTCCCTTATACCAATCCATTATAATCCATTGATATATGTCCAACACTGCCCACATGTCATGCTCAGGAAGAAGTCCCACAGCTGCAGCCGCTGTTGCGCAGCCAGATCTATTGCAGTCGAGGCGAAGCCGAAGGAGATGTGGCCAGTGGAACCTCCTTGATGTTTGATACCCTATGGTAATTTAACATAGCTATTGAAAATGGCCATTGAAATAGTGGATTTTCCCATTAAACATGGTGATTTTCCATAGTTATGTTAGTTTACCAGAGGGTATATGGGGGTTTCCATCAATGCGAAATATGTTTATAATTAATGGAACATCCTATGAACATGTATGATTTGGGGATACCCATTTTCGGAAACCTTGACATACTACAATGCGGTGCCCCCAATGAACATAACTCCAGTAACGATTGGGTTTATGCATGTTTATGCATGTTTTTGGAAACATATAACGAACTAGTTAGTTACTTACTTAGTCCCAGCTGTTACTATGACGAGGGGTCAGTTACCACAACGCTTCCAGCTGTTGCCACGACAGAAGTGGATGTTACCACGACGCACTAGCATCTCCAAAGGAGATCCCTTTGTTTCTACAAAGGGCTACGTTTGTTGACTATGTTTCTCCATTCCAGCTGGCTCCGGACAAGCAAAGAGGTGCCCAACTGTTTGTCTCCAGCTACTCTCCGGCCAAACAAAGAGTTGCCCAACTGTTTCTCAAATGCCCAAAATGGCACTTCCATGTTAATTTGGCATCCCTACTGGCCTTTTTTCCAGGCCAGTGGGGCACAGACGTCCAAGTCCACGACTACTTCGTGACGGCAGACTTCCAAACGGACGACCCTAAGGAGGCGGCTCGGGGTCGGGGTTTACCCTGAGGGACTCCTGGCAATGGGAAATGCTATGGAGTTTTTGAATGGGAAAATCATCAATGGTGGATTTTCATTGTCACGTTTGATTGCCGGATGGCAATTAGCTCCTGTTTTCGGGGACGGATGTTACGAAGCCCTGAGGGTAATGCCTTAGTATGCCTTACTTGTTCGGTGAAGTGACCCGGAGGATAGCCTTAAACTTCCATGATCCGGTGAGATTGCTAGCTGCTGGTAGCATGTCGCAGTGACTGATCACTATCACCATGCAGTATTTATTTCCAAAATATATAATATAATCAATGGTTTGCTTTCACCATGATTCATCGAACTTTGCGTGATGAATAGAGGGAGTCAAAGTAGTCTTCGCTAGGTTCTTGGAGGATGTCTTATTCAGGATTGGTTACTCACTAAAAGGATCATGGTCCAGCGTTGTGTATAGCCAGGCAGCATTCGTATCGCAGTGGTCACATGTACAAGTCCAAGGGCCATTGTCAAAGTTGGGGTTTGTATCGTCAAGAGAAGGAATTCCCAACTTTCCTATCCATGCCACGTTTCTTTGTGCACTTCGCTAGCCATTCTACTGAGAAATCCCACTGAGAAACCCTGGGAATTTGGAATCGCCACTTGCGATTCCTGGAATGATCGCCAAAGAAACTGCCAGATGGCGCTGGAATTTCCCTCAAGCTTCGAACCATTGCCATGTACGGCTTGTGCTTGAGATTACCCTACGGAAGTCTGAAAGATGGAATTCAGCAGCTAAACTTTAGTATGGTCATCTCCATACCAAAATGATGAATCATATTAATCATATTGATGAATCATGATGCATCGCTTATTCAGATTAATCAATGGATTTGGGGCTAGCCTGAATCCATTCATCATGATTCATCATTTTGGGTTAGTCTCAAAACTTTATGTTAGAAGTCTGCCTGCGACATGATGTATTTGGATTGTATTTGGGGGTAGCCTAAGTGTTGAGACTAACCCAAATGTTGCAGGCAGACTTCTTCTTTGTGCCTGGCTACGCAATCTGTGTACTTGAAGGCCGCGGGTGGCAGCCGCATGCAGCCGCGTAGCGGCGCGGAGCTGTGGGGTTAGTGTATAAACATCAAAAGTTTCCAGTGGTTAATCGATTGACCCAGATTACCCTCTGGTAAACTAAGATAGCTATTGAAAATCACATTTTTTTAATATTTTTAATGGGTAAATCAACTATAAATGATACATTTTCAATAGCTATGTTAAATTACCAGAGGGTAAACAAATGGTCTTTGGTAAGATGACGTGAATCAATTGACTTTGGAACACCTTTTTTTTCAGTGCCACCATAGCAAAAAGTGAGTTGAGATGCCGAAATGTCTTGATGTCCCAAACAGTTCAATGAGGGTTTCCTAAACTGGGGGTACCCCAAAAGCTGGATGCTTTATTTCATTGAAAATCCGACTGAATCGGATGATTTCGGGGTACCCCTATGTTAGGAAACCTCCAAATCATTGTTAAATACATCCCGACTAGTATAATTCACCCGTCTTCGCCACAACTTACAACATCTTTGTTGGGGCGAGCCGTGGCGAGCCGTAGGCAATCTCTACACCTTAGACGAGGTGGACGAGCTCTACAAGGTGGGTGAAATCCTCTCAAATTTTCCCACAACCTGCATTCTGCTTGGTGAACTACGATCATTCTCTTTAGTCATACTAAATCTCACCACAATGTGACAATGTGTGGTTTTTCTTTCTGATCTGATCTTGGTGTTTTTTTTTGGGCTTCGTTTTTGTTGAATCCCTCCATGAAAAGCCGTGGTTTCCACCACGGACGTCCCCATGGCGAGCCCCCGTGAATCCCGGCGAATCCCTCAGGAGTTGGTGCCTGCCTTGCCCTACTTCAATGCTTCAGGTCGGAGCGCGTGCAAAAATCATATGGCCGGCGTCCATAGTCAGAGGGAAAAATTACCATCCATTTTTTGTGAATAACCATCAACCATCCAACCATCCATTAGGGGGATATTTGGGGATATGGATGGATATGGGGGTTTCCATAGTAATGGGGGTACCCCAAAAGCTGGATTGTTTATTTCATGGAAAATCCCAATCTAAAATGGATGATTTGGAGGTACCCCCATTTCAGGAAAACCCCATATGAGACAATATGAGTCACAAGAATAAAATTCACACATGACGGCTTTAATAATCGTGTCTTGTATTTAGAACGCATTATTTCACCTGTTGACTCACGTCTTTAAAATTCCTATTGTCAGATACTTCCCGGGAAATAGGTTCCATCCACATCTGAATCGTAAGAAGCAGTACCCTTTAAATATTATTAAACAGCCTCTATTTGAGGTTCATCCCATTTTAATTGTCAATTGTGATGGATCGAATGAGCACCTAAAAATATTATTTTGTTTCATCATGTTTTAGGGTCAACTCCATAGAGTCGCCACCACGATTCGTTGCTCTGTGTTTTTCAGGTGGCCGGGATCACATTTTCGTCTTTGGCTCCGGCATGGCACAGATGCTCGGCAGAAGCAGCAAGAAATGGGGTAAAGATTGATTACCTTGTGGTAAACCAAGATGTGGTAAATGGATGTAAATGGCCCATTTACAGACGATTTACCTATATATTATATATAGAAGATTGTGTTTTTCCGCATCTATAGTTTACAGGAGGGTACTATCGATATTAATTTTGCTTCAAATATCATGGTGATCGAGTAGATGGTGGTGCAACATGCTTAGCACGCGCAGAGTCATTGGCTTTTCCAGCATGGACATATACCGGGGACTGTAAGATACTTTGCGCCCAAAACTGGATGATAAAACCCCTTCAAACTGCTGAAGAAAACAATGGTCAGCAGTTGCATGATCATCACAGGAGAACAGCAAATATCGATGAAGTTTATGAATGTTTATATATATAATTATTGTAGAACTAGTCGTGTTCTAGATGTTGATGAACTTGTCTCTGCGCGCACCTGCTTGCAAAAAAAAAGGTGTTGACAACTGCTCGCAAAAAAATGAAGGTGTTGACGGCACAACAGAGAGATCAGAGGGCAACCATGCCATGTTGTTACCAACAGTGTTGGCGATCATGACACTGATGTTAGGACTCCCAGTCAGTTGGCAATGTAGTGGACCCGTGACAACATTTTCAGTCAACTTGGTTCATCTCTTCACCCCGCAACATTGAAGATTGTGGATGACGTCCCAAATTTAATCCAACTTTTGTTTGCTTTCAGGGATGCCAGAGTTGGGATCTGGCAATCCAAAGCTTTGGCGCGATATTGCAAGATACTGAACATGTCACATGTTGATATATGTTGATACATTTTGAATAGTGATCTTTGATCATATATCTATATGATTGTTGAAGATGATCCGCCGAAGGTCACGTGATGTGCACATGGACAACAAAAATCTTCAGATGCTCTTCGAAAAAAGAAGCCTCACTGGTAGGAAAATCATCAACAATTCAACACATGCTGCATCAAACCACTATATCAGATGACGTTTATTGATTGTCTCAACAAAACAATGTTGTCCCGGACGTGTGTTGGAAAGATGGGATGTTTTCCGCGAAGGGCCTTCCTGGTCGCAGTCTCAGTGAGGAGCGTTTTCCAATCCTGGGAAGAGTACATTCCGCAGGCGCCGGGCAGTTACAGAGCCATCCGTCACGGTTCGTGGGTCGCTGGGAAGCGAGGTGCCCTTTGTTGAGTTTTAAGGTGTTTTAAGAGGCTGGAAAACCCTCCCATTTTGATCGATGAATGATGATGATCTTCCCAATTTGCCATGTCTGATTATTACGAATCAGTTCCGTAGCCATGGCCCTTCTAAGGATGAAGACGGATGTTGTTCATAGGGCTCCCAGAATGTTTACTATATATGGCGCGCTCTTTCTGTTTGAAAAAAATGAGGCAGTTGGCCATAGAAATTTCCAGGCGCGCCATCAATATCTGGGGTATGCTTAGGGATTTTGACCATCAGAACTCAAAGGTTTTTTGCAGGTTACTAGCCGCTTTTTTGGGGTTGAAAAGAAGCAGTTCATCAGTCATACAGATATCCTCACTGCTACCTAGAATATCGACCACAAAGATGGACACTGTCTCCACAGTAATTTCTGTGGCAACCCTGGCACCAGAAAAGCGTACATTGGGTTTGTTTGAACGTAGGGTACCCAAACATCTCATGGCTAATTATCATGTTCCGCTTGAAATGACATGTTGGAGTATCACAAATTTCTGGACGATCCCGTGTATTCAGGGCGTACATCGTATACGTAAGAGATCTTGAAATATCTTAAAGAATGAATAATCCGTTCCTCGTAATTTAGATACCCTTAGAAACACTGATAAATTGTATTGCGTGTATTCATGTTGAGGACCCAGTCATGGGGAGGAATCTCTATAAAGAACCATTAAAATTCAAAATTAGCTAAAAGTCCATTAGCTAAAGATTAATTTCCCATCATTAAACTAGATCCAATCTGCGGGTGGTGATTTTGTTTGGTGCTCCCATGCCAGTCCATCGTTCTGACCCCCGAGACGGAACTCTTCAATGATTTCGCATGGGTTGCCATTCCACCCTACCGACCCTTCAAGGACTTGCCATGACATCCCCGGTCCTCCTTGTTTTCACCATGGTGAAATCATGTGAAATCACGATCTTTGTTGATGGAGAACTAAATGTGAAATTGTAATCTATTGTAATATGATATGTTCCTAGCACTGCGGAAGGAATAGATTGTTTTCTACTGGTGAAATCAATGTTGTGCGTTAGTCAATCACAATTCTCTTTGGTGAAATCACAATTGTCCTTGATCAATCCCCGTGTTCAATGGTGAACAAGCAAACTTGTCATTGATGAAATTCTACGTACTGAACCTGGTTGTTTCCTTGGTAAAACGCACTTTGTTGTTGATCAGTTAAAATGGTTGGTTGTTCAAATTCCGATCTGCTTGCCAGGAAGAACCACCAAAACGTGTCTTTTTGTTTGTAAGACAACATGTTTTACCACTTAAATCATAAATCCCAATTTTGGTTGCTAGTAACTAGTAGTTGTACCATTGTGTTTATGATACTCCCATCTTGATTCGTTGGTTTATTCCCAATACTTTCAGCAGTTCAGGGGCGGTCAAACAACAATTTCACTGCTAAAATCATCTAAAATCCATCCTTTGGTAAAAATAAAGACAACACCAACTTTCACCATAGAACTTGAATTTCAGATGCATTTTTCATCATTTTTCCTTATGTTTCGTAGAAAATATCAGCAAATATCAGGCGCCATTGTCCCAGGACATCGTGATCCCTGGCAGTTTGGACCTCATTGAGGTGATCGCCGCGTTGGAGAAGTCCAAGCCGTTGCGGGAGAGGCGTTTTTTGACGGCCTTCTTCGGCAGGGCAGATCTGGTGCCCAGCGGGCCATGTTGGGATCAGCGGGCTCCTGTTGGGAGATGTTGGGAGATGTTGGGATCTGGGAAAATTCTGGGAAATTCCCACGATTCGAGGTTTCTTGCTGGGGAATCTGCTGCGAAATGATCGAGATTTTATAAGATTTTCATGGGACAATTACGGAGACTTCGTGACTCGTTGGACAGCAACGCAAAAAAATCCACGCCATCATTTGGGCCTCCATGAAGCTCTGAAAGAGCCTTGGAGATCTTGGAGCCATCGTCTCAGGTGCGAGGTCCTCATCCGTGGGTTGGAGGTGTGGATGTTCGAAAGGAACTCATCGCCTTAAAAGACCTGCCAGGCGTGCGGATCTGGGAGGATCTAGGAGGTCGTGGTCCGCTTGGGAACTCCAAAAATTGGGTCCAAGAAAATGGCAAACATGGCACCGCAACAATTTGCTGCTTGGTGGTTTCAAACATGAAATTTTATGTTCCATTTCATATATGGGATGTCATCCTTCCCATTGACGAACTCATATTTTTCAAGATGGTTAAAACTTGTTAAAACCACCAAGCAGTTTAGTATGTTGGGGAAGATGACGATCATCTGATGAACCATGGAATCTGTGGCCCAATTTTCAGACAAACCCAAAAACCATTTTGGAGCCTGAAAAGGCTGGTCAAACCTTGGAGATCTGAAACCTGAAACATGTTTAGGGCTTAGGTTTTATTGATTTAATTGACTGTGCTTACTGGTTATTTTGCGGTTATTTTACTAAAAACGATGGATATTGACTATTGACCTTAGAAACATCAGAAACAATGTGGTTTTGAACAAACCAAGTACTGTGCTGAGGATTAAGGGAGTGCTCCAGTGGATTCAGAGTTCAATGGCCCCTTCATGGTCCAGACCCTCTTGAACTCTTGGTGCATGTGGTGCAATGGTTGCGTTCTTTTCGTTGTTTTTTTTGACACTAGACAAAATCTGTTTGAGTTGTGCTTCATTATGTTTCATGTATAGTACAGGAATCCATGTCCCACCAATATGAAATACGGTCCCGGCAAGCTAGGGTTTGTATTGGATCTACTTTTTTTTACGGACCCAGTCATGGGAGTATTTGACAATATTGGGGGGATATTGGGGGATTGGATTATATATAGGCTACAGCATCCCACCCGTATCCTATTGCAATGAAGTGTTTTGATGGTCCACAGTGGGTTCCCTGGTGGCTATGCCCTGGCTCAGCTGTTCCGCTGTTCCAAAGTGAGCAGTGTCATCAAAGGCCAATTGCAGCAGCGACCTCGAAGGACATCAACGCATTTCAGATCACTCAATGTGGGAAGCAGCAAAAACACAAGGTAAAGCTGTGGTAACCATCGACCATCGGCGGGCTTTGCTGCTAGCTGATACCATGCTGCCCCCCGCCAAGTGGCCAACCACCCTATGCGGATGCTTCAAAATCATCAACCCCCAAAAGCTGGGAAATACATGGGCATGACCCAGTCAAGTACGTTCACTGATACGCGGTATCCCGCTCTTTTGAGGCTTAGCATGGTTTGGCCATTATATGCATAATATTTATATAGAATATGCATATAGATTTTAAAATAATATTATATATATATATAAATCCTGAGATGACACAGACAGAGTTGTATAGCCTTAGTTCATCCATCATGTTTCGCTTTTCTCCCGGCATCAACCGCTTTCTGCAGCGCCGGGTACCCTGGATGGCAGCTGCTGACTTGCAATGGCAACTCTCCCATCGTGCAGCATCTAACTTTGTCACTTATGCAGCCTATGCAGCATGAGTCCTCAAAAGTTCCATTGACCACTGAACCACTCCATGTATGTTTGCTCAAGCACATGCAGGATTGAAGTACTGCACTTCATCCACATGCCTAGAATTCTGAACCCTTCACTTCACATCTCATATATTAATTGTACCAGTTCTAGCCATTTCTAGTCATGTTTTACATTTCATACAGATGTGATGTTTCGCGCCAGACATCGATACACATTTACACGTCCCAGGCCGCGTGGTTGCTCCGAGGGCCGTGAAGGCGGGCCCTGGGCCTATGTGATTTTTTTGGGTAGACGGTTTTGAGTTTGGGGATATGAACATCGATATACTGCATACTAATTTAAATATATGAAATATAACATTAGATAATTTATATATCAGATAATTATGATTTATTTATGAACATATATATTATGAAGTTATCTAATAATTTAAATATATGAAATATATAATATATATGTACACATTTTTTTTTTAATATTTACATAATATATACATTATATAATTACAGTATATATATAATTACAGTATATATATATAATTACAGTATATATATAATTACAGTATATATATAATTACAGTATATATATATAATTACAGTATATATATATACACATGGTCAGGTCGAGTATCTAATGTTTAAAAAAAAAACTAGCAAACAAATGGGGAGATGGCAATGGCTCACAAATATGATTTCAGTATACAATATACCCCTAAAATCAATGGTTGCATACTGACATTCCTAAATTCGTGGGGCCAAGAGTACCCCATGTTTTACCCAAATGTAACCACCAAAGATGGGTTTAGTTCATCACTATGTCCAACCGACCATGGTCCTGAGGGAATCTGTGCCCGACCCCAACTTGACGAACAACTTGAAATCACACCTTTCCCAGATGCTAATAGATGCTCCATTTATGGTTTGTATGGGCTATTGGTCAAGATCTACCCAACAAAAACACTGCTGATTCCCATACATAGTGCATTCAGGCTTCCGAACCAATGATTTCAGGAATGGGGAGGGTTGCCCAAAGAGGATCAAATGAGTCTGTTGTTTCAAGGTCCGACATGTTTCTTTTTTGGCGCTTGACTATGTGGTACTCCAGCAAGCCTGATCTACGATGAGTCCCATCTACGTATCCTCCACTAATCAAATCATAGCAATGGAACATCCACCATTGACTTCGATGATTTTCCCATGAAAACCCTCAATTCATAGGGGATTTCATAGGGGATTTCTTCAATTCTCGTCGAAGTAACACATCTGGCTGGGTCGTTTCCAAGAACAGCCAGGTCTCGGTCTCGGTTGCAGAGCCAGTGGAGGCCGGGCCGCCCATGGAATCACCAGATAGAATCAGTGCCAAGTGGCCCATAGAATCCTCTCACCTACAGGTGGAGTGCAATTGCAGTTAATATATTTGTAACCATGGTTCTAATCCCATAAATTGGGATATAACTCCAATGATTATGGCCATAATGATTTTGGATCAATATCTATGAATATATATTGATAGATATATCCCCTGAATATATTCATAGATATTTTGTTGATCCATTATAGACATAATCCATTATGTCTATCTATCTATCAATATATATATATATTTAGGGGATAGATAGACATCCATTTACAAGTCATTTGATGTTCACCAGGAGCGTGCGTTTTGACACATCCCCATCCTCATTTTTTTCGTGATCTCTCAATCGGCTGACATAGCCATCTTTACCCTCCTTGGGTCCATGTGGAAACCAAAAACAATGGGAGTTAAAGTCTGACTTGTTGCTAGAGTGCTAGAGTTGCGAGGCATTTTAGGCACCATGGATTCAAATAATCTCTTCACCCAGTGTTTAGAAAGACACTCTGAAGTTCAGCTAAAGAACCTTGGCTCCACGGGGAATCGTCCGAAAACAGAATCGATGTTCCTCTGGTGGTGTCAGGAAGTGTTGGAAAAAATGGGAAAAAAAAACTCCGACAAGAAATAGCAACAAAAAAAACATATACAACAAATATTGTAGTTCCATCATGTAAATCCAACAGTATCCATCAGTTCTTCGAGATCCGCTTACAAACCAACTGACACCTGTCGAACTCGGGGGCTCCCTCCTCTTCATATCCTGTCAAATCCTTATTGTCAACTTTAAATGTCAAAAGAATTCTTTCAGATTTTCAGTTGCTTCCCCATAGATTTCTTGTTGAAAGCAAACAAATCCCTGAGGATAGGAAGTTAACTTGGACATGGCTTAAAGTGATACCACTTGGGGTATACCCCATTTGCAGACACACCCCAGTGATCCTTCCCCAGGCCTCTCTTTGCAGCGGTTTTGCTCTTAGTTTCGTCATTGCCGGCCTTCCCCTTGGCATCCTGTTCCTTGGCCGAGAGCCGCCAAGAGCAGAGGGCTGTCGAATTTTCTTGGCCCCAAAACAGGGTGACTTGTTCTTGGTTCTGGGAAAGATAAAGGTACAGTCGTGGCCCAAAACAGCTATACATGGGCTTATAATGATATTATATATATATAACATTATATTTTGTAACCTTAGTTATAGGAATTATATGGAATTATAATTCTACATTTATAACTGTTAAGGGCCATGAAGGTAGTGGACAATCTTTGACTTTGGAGGCTACTCCTCAATTTTTTTGGCTACCATCCTTTCGAAAACTGGATAAAACTTGATGAATGGTTGGTGACGGGGTCTATTTTTGACTGTCTATTTTTGATGGAGGATAGTGGAGCATCGGACACGAGGGGCCCACAAACACATGATTCATCTCCCAGAGATCAACTTGTTTAGTTATCAAACAAATTTGCCAACATAATACCCTCTGGTAATTTAACATAGCTATTGAAAATGGCCATTTATAGTGGAATTTCCCATAAACAATGGTGGTTTTCCATAGCTATGTTAATTTGCCAACATAATACACAATATGTTGGCACATGTTCACCTAGACATGATAGGCTATTGGATCAGCTTTCTCTGAATGATCCGCTCCCAGGCGCAAAGCCAACCTTTGACTGACACAGATTGACATGTTCCACTACCTCGCAGTTCATTCGGGAGAAACAAGGAACTACCCTCTGGTAAACTAACGTAACTATGGAAAATCACCATTTTGAATGGGAAAACTCACTATAAATGGCCATTTTGAAAATAGCTATGTTAAATTACCAGAGGGTAATGTACTTACATTTCAAATTCATCAAACAATGTTGCCTAGAAATGGAAACTCACCCCAAACGGCTTGCAGTTGGCTGATCTACTGACACTTAGACCCAAAGATTTAGGTGGTAATTCGTGACGCCGTGCGATGAGAGAACATGTTGATTTTCATTTGAAGTGTTCTTTTCTGGCCATGAAGCTAGGATCGGACTGCCAGAGTCACGGCAGGTTTGTTGTTTCAACCTTTCCTGTCCGATGATCATCACGAATTGTCTCATATTTTTCCAGGCAATTGAAAGCACTAACCAGCTGTGATGGTAACTGGAAGTGTGCCAACATACAATGATTTCTTATTTGACGGTCATTTTGGGTTGACGGGCTGATCATGGCTAGATCATCTGAGGTACTTCAGGCGAACAGTGTGGAAGGGCGGTGGTGTCAAAGCTTTTGAGACATGAAAAGCAGCTGGATGAATTACAATACAACAAGCTCACCGCGATGTCATCATTCACGGTCATTAACGATGGTTTGTAAGTTGTCACCTTATTTCAAGTTTAAATTATATATATATATATATTATATATATAGCATGTTTTCTTTTACAATTTAGCCAGAAAAATTGGGAAACCTTCTGCTTTGGGCAAGATATGTTGGGAAGTGAAGCATGTAAGCTCTGCGGGATTTCCCTAAGACCTCTTTCAGGTTGCACGGCGTGGTGTCTTAAGCCCTAGGGTATCCCCAATGTATTGGGTTTGGAGTCGGAAAAGGGATGATACCTCCCAGAACTGATAGAAAATGGTGATAGATTATACTAGACCATGATGATGCCCCGTGATGACTGGGAAAGGACCATGTTTTTTTAGAGATTTCAGGAGATTTCTACTTTTGCAACCCTTTTTGTTTTCTATTACTGTCCAATCTCATCATAGCTATTAGGACGGACGAGTTGAAACCACCACGGAAATCTGGGTAAATTATGAGGACTTCCCCAGACTGATGTTTCATTGGTGTTCATTGATTTCCCTATCTCACCTGATTTGTTACCAGATGCCAACATATATTTACCAGTTGATTTTAACAATCCATCAAAAGGAATCATATTCTATGGACATCGTTGGACAACACATACCAGTCAAGGTACCTGCAAATCTCTATATATTATACAATGTATCTTTATATATATATATATATTATATATATATATGGCGAAGGCTGGAGGCTCATTGGAATTTGATTTGATTTGATTTTCATTGATAATGTTTGTCATAGTCAATGTGTATTTTTCAGTTTTTTTTGTGATCAAAAGTGTTTCAGTTCATTTGTCAGGCATGGATAGGCATGGAAGATCGTTTGGGGATTGAATTTGTCGCGGGCATGTTTAAAAAGCATTTGGCTGAAATCACAATTTTGTTGACTGATTTTCGCATATCTGTAGAATTCATTAGAAATGTTGTGTCCCACCGATGGTTGAAACCTTCTTTGTCTGAGTAACAAAAAGAGTATCAATCTCCTTGGAAGCCTGACGTTTTTGCATTTGGCAGTTTTTTTTTGGCAAGAACAGATGTGGTGAGCAACAATCGTTTGCAAGTCGCATCTTCAGCATAACACTTGCACGAAGCAAGCATTGCCAAAAGTTATCAGAACTCCCCCCCTCCACCTACCACCACCCCCCCACTGATATCTCCCTACAATATACGTATATATAATATACACTCACTTGATTACACTTGCATATTTATGTACATATAATATCTTCTAATATCATATAATATCACATATAATATTATATATACATACGATTCAAACATGATTTTAGTACACTAGATTTACTTTGTATTTTTGACTCAACATGGTTTATTCAACTGTGCCAGGAGCTGGTTCGCCGCAGAGAAGCTCCCGCAAGGGGTGCCAAATGATGTGTGAAGGTTGTTGCATTGATATTTGTATGGACATGTCTCAAAATTATTGCTCCCCGAAGTTGGAGGATGGTAGTTGGTAATACCGTGACCAAAAACCGTGTTTGGTTCTGTTGGTACCAAATTTCTGAGCACCCAAATGGCAAAGCCACATAAATTTTCACGCAAAAAAAGGAACCAGACATGTTAAGATGGGCGCAAACCTCCAAAATGTTCACCGGTGCGCCGATTTGTGTTCGGTCAAGGTTTGCGAGCGTGGATGCATGTTCAATTCTACCAAAGCCAGTCTTTGTTTTGACTCGCTCGGGTGCTGAAACTGGGTTCGTTTCTTTGTTTGATGTTTTGTCATGTAATCTTTGCCAAACACAAAAAATACCAGCGAAATCCAATCAGTCTTTTTCATGCCTCCTGTGTTGATTATTCGTTGTTGTCATCATGTCCTTGTACGTGTCAGGTGTTGGTTAAATCAGCATCCAACATCCCAACAGCTTGGGTTATCCACTGCTATGGGGCAAGTTGAGTCATCATGTCATGGTCCATTCGAGTATGCGTAGGATGCCCTTGAATGCCAGTGCCAGTGTTTGTTGTTGTTGTTGTTGTTGTTGTTGTTGTTGTTGGTGTTGGTGTTGTTGCTGTTGTTGTTGTCGTTGTCGTCGTCGTTGTTGTTGTTGCCGCCACCTTTTTTGACATACCCATTGACTATATACTGTATATAAAAAATAATAATAACAATAATATTAATAATATTACTAATAACCGTATACTGTATATATATATATATCTATCTATATATATATATATACACGTAATCATTTCAATAATCTAACGTATCCATACAGCTTAAAACCGCCAACTCAGCATTTGGTTGTTCACATCCCAATATGACACCCAGAATGCCCTTCATGGGCTGTTCAGAAACCCCACCCTCCCGCAGTCAGGCCTGATTCCTTTCAGAAGCTGCCGAGACTCTCTCAGGATTTCTGGGGGTGAAGAACCCTGTTGATTGGTTGCTACAAGGTGGCTTTCCAGTCATGTCGCTTGGGGAAATAACAACATGAATATGTGAAAATATGTGTTTCTTCTACCATTTAGATCCATTTAGATAGAGGATGTTCCCGGTCAACAAAAATTGATAGAGGTTGTTAAATCGCAATGTTTGATTACCAGGGGGTAGTTACTAGCGAGTAATGCTGCCAGATGTTGGGGATGATTGCAATCCAATATGTCGGTATGTCTATTAGTCAGTCAATACAGTGGGATGGGATAAGGATACTCTTCATAGATCACATAATAGATCACATTTGATCACGTATATAGTTTTGAAGCAATGGGACAGCCCATGAAAGCTCACGTGGGAATTGAACAACTCCCGTTCGTTTTTCGGACACTTCATAGAAATCGGGTTGAATTGCCACGTTGGATTCCCAGTGGTGAAGCTTGAAAGGTCGGTTTCTCGAATAGAAACTGTTTAAACAAAGCATCAATTCCATTGCGAAGTCAGCAGATTTATCGTAAATGAATTATTTTAGATGTGATCCCCTGCCAACCCACGTTGTGGCTAACCGAGCCCCATAGCTGAAGTGCTGTCATGGCTGGCCAAGGTGTGATATGGTTGTCAAAAGAAAATCATTATACTCGTACCTGGTATCCGAACTTTACAAGCCCATCCAAACAGGGTCTCGTATTGATTTATGCACATGTTGATTATTATTTATTTTGTAGGCGTACATATATATATATATATATATTTATTATAGATATACATATGTTTATAGGTATGAACATAATACATGTATATAGTTACATCAAAAATACAGTATAATACACATATATGTATATAATATATACACATACGAAACATCTGTCGCCAAATACCTTTATTATATAACTATATAACTGAAGGCTTTAATTCTAACGTTAATTGGGTAAACATCCGGCCGATGAGAGGACGGGTCATCGATTTGGAGCTGCAGAGGTGCAAGAGAAGACTTGTGATTTCAACCCATAAATTCTGATCCTTGCGTGTCTAGGGGTTTTAATTATGGTTATATATATATTTGAATAATGATAATAATTTAATGGATTATAATGGTAATTAACATAGTTATGGGTCCTATAATAGAATTATATAATATGATGTGATATCATAGACAATTGATATAATATGATATCATACATATGATATAATATGATATAACACTAATATAGTAACATCACATAATAAACCTCGTATAATTTCACATACAGTAATATAGTATGATTTAGTATGCCACATGTTTTAGTATCGTATAATATAGTGTGTATATATATATAGTATAGTATAGTTTAGTATATTATAGCATAGTATAGCATAGTACAGTACAGTATAGTATGATAGTATGGTATAACATGGCATTACATGACAGATGTATACACATACATGTGGGTAAATAACACCCATGATTTTTGTCCAAATATAGTGGCATAAACAAACAATTGCAATTGAATACACGGTAAGATGATACGTCATTTATGGAATATATGACCAACATTGACCAACCTTGCGATCAATTGGTGTCTGAAAACAGGGCACAACAAAATTGCAGTCTTTACTTGGAAAGAATAGAAATTAGAACCAAAGGTCATATCAAATGTAGAGACAATCTATCTTCAGACACTGTAGGCTCATTATTAACTAACATGAGTTGAAATGGGTGTGTGGTATAAAACCACTTGTAAATCAGAAGTGCATATATTTGTATGGTAATACACAACCCAAATTGTACCAGAAAAAGCTTGGATGGTTTGACATTCCTCAACGGGAAATTCAATATTTGGTTTGCCACATGAGCTGTATCAGATCAAATTTAGCTGTTGCTGTTCCATTCCCTTTTTGTTCAGTTTTCTTTCATTCCCCACCTGTCAGGTGAGGGTTGTTAGATTTTATGTCAGCTGGCCTCCTCCTTCTCCTTCTCCTTCTCCTTCTCCGCCGGACCTCAACTGCAAGCTCGAGATCGCAGTGGTCCCCGCCTGACCCCAACAGCAAACTCAGGATCAGAGTGTTACCCGCTGGACCTCAACCACAAAGAATCTCTGAAGATATACCAGATAGAATGCCAGAAAGAATGTCAGAATATATGCCAGAACGTATGTCAGACTAGATGCCAGATAGAATGTTAGGTTAAATGTCAGAATATATGTCAAAATATTTCTCAGAATATATGCGTTGAAATGTCATGGTGGGGATCACTTGAAGTAAAGTAATTGTTCTTTTTTCGGATCATTTACCTCTTGGGTAGATAACCCCCGTCCTGGCCAACCCCATTTTTTGGAGACCATTCCTAGATCTTTATTGATAAAACAATCGGTGGTACCAGTGACTGACTCAAGGCAATGTTACAATTCCCCGAGGACATCATTATTCCACTTAGATGGGCTATGGGAATTGTTTATATCGTTGTAGCCCCTAAAACAAATAGTTAACATTAGTTAAGTACATACAGTCGGTTGTATATTTCACATATTCCATGTGTTATAACCTTTACAAAACCCATGGTTTTTGCAGAGGCTCAGGTGCGGCTTGGCAGCGGAAGACCTTGCACCTCCGTAGGGGATCCCCATACGTTGGGTCGTACGGATCCGGCTGGATTGTAGCCATGGGTTTTGAGGTGCTGCTGAACAGTTATAACTCGGTTTTATCGGGAATATTTAGGGGATTTAGTTCTTTAACCAAGAAACATGGTTGGATAATGGGATGAAATTGGAGAATCATGGGGATATGAATGTAACACACAGGTGCGACAATGGCAGCAGGATCCAGTGGCGGCATTGAATTTCAATTGACAACTGGAACATGGGGCATTCGAGAAGGACGTTTTCTTGTCACCAGTCATTCGTTCTTGTGAACCCCATCCGGATGATTTGGGGGAATCATCCCCAAATGGACGCTAACCTTTTCAGGTTTTTGAAATATGAAATAATGTACCCAGATCTATACTTAAGTGGGTTTCCTAACCAACAGACATAACAGGTTGCAGTCCAGGTTTGTCCGAGAATTAGGTGCCCTTAAATTGACTGATTGATATTGATTAATCATCATTTGTCCTTGTTGACATGGCCATTGGGCCACTCGGGGGTGTGTACATCATTTTCAAACACAGCTTTCTAGATGTTGAGCCGTTTGATTTTTGAGATCGTATATATAGATGGATAAACACCATTAAACACCCATGTCTCCATATGTTCACACATTTTTGTGTGTTTTCAACAGGTGAGCAACAAAAACAAAACACCAAATTCAGCGACACCACACTTTGATGATTTCACTGGTAAATAATGAGGGCGACTAACATCGGTCATGCCCCTATGTCTCACCTTGAAAGGCAGTACCGCAACATATACAGTGAGTCCGAAGTCGTCATCGCAGCCGGTTGGTGTTTTCAATACATCCTGCTTTAGGTGATCAAAAAACCATCGCTGGTTGAACCTCCCTGAGGTGGTGATCTGCGAAGTGATCTGGTGCCTTTGGACCGCTTCGCCACTGCAAGGTGTCCGGCGTAAAAGGGTGTCGCTTTTGTCAGCAGAGGCGCTGGGGAATACACAGGAGTTGTGGTCAAGCAATGAATCAATGGCCATTTCAGGAACCGATTGGTTGCAGGTACCTACCATATATTTGTTGGCCTGTTTTTATCTATTTTTCACGCCTATGTAAGGGGAGATATCATGAGATATCCCCAACATCGCTACAGTACCTCTATCCGCCACACTGCGCGGTCAGGATTGGTGGATCCTGGGCCCCAGAATGTGAGGCGGACTGCGCCTGGTGTATAGAAAAGATAGAAACAGAAAGTCCATGCCCCAAAAAGATTAAACAGTAGCATCTCTATATATATATATATAGATCTAGGTATATACATACATATATATATAGATCTAGGTATATACATACATATATATATATATATATATATCATGGAGAAAATGGGAAACATTATTTGCTGGAAATGTTGGTGATTCTCAGAAGGTTTGAAGAGCCAGACCAATGGCGAAGGGATACTATTGGTACAGCAAGGTGATTCAGGTGGACAAACAACGTGAAATTTGATTTGGGTACGGAAGGTATTTGAGTTCATTTGCCATTTTTTTTCCGGTGAGATTGTGGTGTTTACACGTGGCATCAAAGTTCTATCATCAATAATAGTCGACTCAACATGCAGCCGGGTCGACAGCCAATTCCCAAGGTGTGCACAGGAGGGTGCGACTGGGTGAATTTGGAGAAATCCATGTTTCATATAGTTGATCATATATCCATATATATCCCACTATATCCAATGATTTTCACTTGAACCAATTACTTTGCCACCTCATTGTTGTTGCTGGTTTGGGGGTTCAGAGTTAGACGGATTCTCAGCACCAAGCGTCTATAGGTTGTGAGACTCCACCAGAGCTCTGTGCGAGACCCAGGGGGCCTAGTTGGAGCTGATGGGAACCCCTGTGTTGCAG